GCAAATTCCAAAAATGCTATAGCAAAATCTAGCAAATTCAGCTGAATAATTTGACATACTTTTTTTTGAAATCGAACATAGTGCCGGTGTGCCCACAAAGATAGCATCGGCATGTTTGTTTGCGGATTATCAAAGTTTAGGGGCCCTAGCAAAATCCAAAAATGCCCTAGCAAAATCTAGTAAATTTTTGATACCATTTACATAACTCTAGCATAATGTGCCGGTGCCAACTTGACGGACATGATAAATTAAAAATTTTCGACGTTAATAAATTGGTAATGGTGCACAAGACGTCGCGCGATAGGATAAAATATTACGTTCAGATATAATAGTTGAACATTTCATACCCGTCAGATATACTCTGATATTGTACAAGTGCTCGACATTGGTTGTAATTTTTCGGATTAATGAACGGATAGTTGTATTTAGTAAATCAAAAGTGTCCATATAGAAATATATAAATAAATACTTAGACTGGAATAATATTATATTTGTAATTTACGAACGGTTTGAAATTGAAAATTTGTCATCAGATACGTAGAAAGTTCATTAATACACGACTCTATTTTATTTTTATTTATTTATTTATAAAATTAATTTATTAATCTACGAGAGTTAACTATTTACTAATTTTTATTTAATATTTATTATTTTACTATGGATAATAATGGTATTTACACGGGCGGAACTACACGTAGTCTAGAATAGCGTTCGCCAACCTTTTAGACTTCAGGGACCACTAAATACATACCTATTCTAAATTTTACAGACCACTTTTAGCTTAAAATAGCTTTTTACATAAATACCGTTAAATAAGTCGACGAAGTATTTTTTTTCGGTCATATATAACTTGTTATTTTAATTGTTTGCTGCAAATAGATCTATCCACATAATACCATGTCTAGGATTTAATTTTTTGGGGAAATAACGACAAAAAGATTCTGTAAGTAACGTTTAAATTTTTCTACGGACCATCTAAATTTTCTCGTGGACCACCGGTTGGCGACCACTGATCTAGAACATTAGAGATGCTTCGTAACTGCGGTCGACTTTATGCCGATTAATCGACTTTGACCTGCCGTTAAAAACACAACTATCCGTTTTCGGTTATAATATATTTTTGGACTAATTGTATTGCGTTGTATTCGTGCGCATGGATAATTTTGCTTACGTAAATACATTATGCACTACCATAATTATCAATTAAGGAAAATTTTTACAACAGCTTACCAGAAAGTAGAAAGCTAACTATTAAACAACAACTATTATAATTAAGGGGATTGTATGTTAAAATATAATACTATTTATGTTTATTTCATTTGCAACGCAGTAATTGTTTATCCTTTGTCAAACGGTCGATCCTATATGTTTTATTAAAATGATTTTATTAACAGACATGAGTTTGCCGCAAGTTCTACGAGGCTTTTTAAAGTTTTTTTTTTTTTTTTTTTTATTGTATTCCATCAATTTACTAATGATTAATTACGATGTATTTATTTAATGTTACGTTGAAGCAGTGGACAACGCACGCAGACGTCATAACGTGGTGGCAAGACTTTTTAAATAAAAAAAATAAAATAAAATATTTAAGTGAATTAGTATAGGGGTGCCGATTTCTGAGATGGAAGTGCTCAAGTATGATAGCACCCTCGGTCTATGTATACTAATGTGTACTTATATCGCTGTACCCGAACGTACTTCGCAAATCAAAATAATGGGCTTTAATGTTTTTTATTTTTTACAATACGATGATGAATACCGCCCGCTCAAAACCTCTGGATCACGTACATTGCGCGCACGTCGTAAAAAAAAATAACAATACGTGATAAACGGTTGAGTGCGTTTGATTTTCAGACGTCTCGCCGTGTCCATTTACGACTGCGGCCGCACCGTATTATAGTTGACAATTAATCTCATTAATATTCCGACCGTATATGGGCAGATACAGGTATACCATTTTAATGCACGGCTTTGACGTTGTACATGAATGTTTTTGTCGCTCTCAAATGATTAAAACCGTTGATTTATGTTTCATTAAATTGTAATACACATTGTACTTATGTTCTATTGATGTATTTATTTTTAATCTTTATTTCTTTCTTCGACTTACAATTTGTCGGTACGATTTGAATGGACGATACGGTCTTTTTTTCCGACAAACATTACTGGTAGCAAAAGTCATTTCTTTGTTTTCAGACAAAGCTCCATGTACTCGTATACACACCGTCTAGGTGTATACGAAATAACGTGCGTATTTGTAAAAGTCTAAAAGTCTTTATAATTTATTCAGTATTTTATTCTACAGTGTTTTTAACAATCGCAAAGCCTAACGTAAGAGTAAACAATTTAATTGTAAAATATATACCGCCGATTGTAGTATTAAGTCAGTAGGTATTTTGATTCATAAGAAAATAATCATATCATACGATGATAATTTTTATAAAATAATAAAATAATATTTAATATATTGAAATTTTTTTTTTCTAGTTTTTGTTATAATTTGTGAATAAATTGTAATAAATACTTATAAATTAAGATTAATTTTATTGTTATTATTCAAATTTTATTAATAAATTGAAGTGAATGATGGGTACCTAGAATATAATTTTTATTGGTCATATTCAAGGTTTAAAACCGGTAGCTGGTTTGTAACGAAAACCGGTAAGAACCCTTAAATTTGAGAACTGAAAACCGATAACCACTATTAGTTTTAGAATGCTGGAAGCGGTTATTAGCTATCGGTAAACAAGGTAAATATTTAAATATTAACATCAAAGCGATTACCTTGTATTTTCAATCCCAGTTTTATAACCAAAACTTATTCCCGACAAAAATAATTAACGGTTTTTTCGTGGTATTAATTTTTGAATTATGTCATGATTACATTATACTATTACAGTTGAATTTAATTTCCCAGCTATTTTTAAATATTTTTCCCCAATTAATGGCCGTCGAGTATTGCTCATCTGTTGTAAATATCATATATATATATATATATATATATATATATATATATATATATATAGGTATAACTATACATTATAAATACTGTCATAAACGTCGTCGTCATGGAGTTCAGATCCCTATTAAAAAATAGTTGTTGGAATAAAGGCTTAGTCCATTTAATATTTATGATATTTTAATAGTGTTGTTTTAATATCTGCTCATCCAGGTTTTGAGGTACTGTATTATATATAATATAACCAAAAATTTCTGGGGTAATGTATCAATCTTAGTGTCATATTAGAAAATGATTATATTTGATTTCAGTTTTTTACCGTTATAAATAAGAAAATTATAACAATACAATTTTTTTATACAATTTAGTTTTTTGATTATTATTATCTTGATCATAATATGTTTTAAATTTTAAAGCAGTTTGAAAAAATAAATATTGAAATTGAGTGAAATTGACCAAATTAAAGCATATTAAGTTTTTGATTTTGTAATAATAAAAGTTATATTATCAACCCGAGAATCGCCTATATAAACTGTTTTAAAAATATCATTAAAAAATTGAAAAATATGATTTCTAAAAACCGGTTTTAACTAGTAACCAATTACCAAAAAATCTTATCATCGGCTTTTAAATGATTAACGGTTATTATAGTTTTTGAAATATTCTTAAAGAAACGGTTACTGGTTACCATAATAACAAATTTAAACGACAACCGATTACCAGTTTAAAAAATTTTTTGGCTCCTACCGAAGTCGATTAACAACTTTATTAGGAACGGTTTTAAGCCCTGGTTATATTGAATAATAAAACAATCGATTATTATTAATGTATTTCTTATATACTTTTTATTTATTCTAAGGGTCTCAAAGCAAACAACAGCAATACCAATATCAGATTTAAAGTTTTGATGATAAATTATTAAAGATGTAATAAATTCTGTAATACATTGAAACCATGAGTCGAGATGTCTTTATTGACTTACAAAATGGATCCATAAAACAAATATTGGATTTATCATTTGTTTTTTCATATACAAAAAGATAGATATCGGACTACTGTAATATTTCATGGGCTCTATACTATCTAGAAACTAAATATAATTAATTCAGTCGCGTGGAATTCTCGGCATGTTATATTTATCTGAATATTAATATTACAATGTTGTAAGTTTGTTCAATATTACGATCGTGTCATATTTATTTATTTCAGTCGTAAATAATAATTTCGACGAAAGATATAAATGGTAAAATTCCACAAACTACAAATTTGACCCGAATAAGAGACGTATTTTTAATAAAAAAAAATTACGTTTTTTCCCAAGTACATTTTACTCTGGTGCACGAATGGCACCATCTGTCGTCTTGAATTATTTTTCGTATAATGAACACGAACCATATCTCCAATTCCTAAAAACAATCTCATTTAGCTGGTAAAATGTTTCTTCTTCTCGTTCGGCGTTTATGATCAATTTGAATTTTCATCAACCTAAATTCTCGAACGGAAAACCGTTTCGCATTTAACAAGTTTACTTTGTCGGTGTAAAGTTATTCGTATACAGAGCAATATGCTCTCGGTAGTGTAGCTTATCAGTGGCGCCGAACTCTATGATTAGATCAGGCCACGGTCTGACCAAATTTTTAAAATAAGGCCGGGAATCAGAGGGCTCTATGGTTTGAACTTTGCAATATTCTGACTTCGTGATTATTTTCACAAGAAATGCCGAACGGACTCTGTCGGATCGGTACATGTATGAAGGGAACAGAAACGTTAAAATGTGAATTACCTAAATTAAAATTCATAATAATATATTTTTCGGAACGGTGTTTGTCGTTACATATCTAACTAGTATGGATCATGATTAATACTTGTAATGTGAGGGTACAAATTATTTTTCTATGCAAAGTAAAAATGTAGACTTGTGGCCGCTGGGGTATTAGAGAGGCTGTTGTATTTTTATTTGGTCTGAGTAAAATTTTAGAATCTCGACGCCATTGTAGCTTATAAACACGAATAATAAAACTATTTCGTTTCGCAATGACGACGTTTATTTATTTTTTTTTCGACTGATATTATATAAGTACAGCGTTTTCGTTAGTTATTATTTACAGTTATTAATACTAACGCACCTTGATTAATCTTGATTAATCAGGTAAGCTTCCCATTTTCATGCACGCGTTGAACGAAAAAGCCTGAAAAACATTACAGTGGTACACAATATTAGTTTTTCAAATAAAATATTATCGACAACAATAATTCGGTTGGGTATAAAAGTGTAATATAATTTAGTCGTATGCACACGGTATGGTATGGCGAATCGATATTACTATAAACAATAATGTGATACGTTTACGTCGGCCTCGTCGATTCCGAGGGGTAGAAACTAGATTTCGATTTCCTATTTGAGACCACCGGATTTGGTCCGTCCATTTTGGTTTTCAAACTCTGACAAAACGGCTCCAGCTATCAAACTGTCCGTATGAACAAATATGAAAACGTAAAAAAGTCGAGTGCGTCAAAGCCTTTGGGAGCAATCATAAGTAATGCACGTCACTGAATATTGAGTGTATAACATATTTTATACCGTCACTTTTAAAATTTTCATAATTCATATGCACGCACGAACACACACACACACACAACGACAAATGATTTAATGTATACATATTTTGTAATTCTCGTGTACATGAATATTGCACGTATGATTCACTCATCGTGTCATAATTATTATTTTTATCACGATGGGATGGTATGATAATGAGCACGAAAATATCGAGTTATCCATAAAGTAATTGTTAGTTAACAGACTATTGAAATAACGATGTAGTACGATTATATTATTAATTGTTTTCCACGTAAAGGCGTATTGTTATTATATTCATAAAACATTTTTGTTATTATCCTACAATTTGAACGAGTAAAAAATTAAATTACATAGTAAGTTTAACTCGCCCATACAGAACGATTGCATAAATATTTTTTAGTAACTTTTTTGTTTGAACAAACGTTTTAAACTGTAACATAACAATTATTTTCGAGTATTAAATTTACTACGCTATACAGTTATTAAATTGCTACATCTTCCTCGAATTGTATTTACGAGTCGAGTACGAATGTGTGTTTTATCTTTTAACATTGTTTAAGTTCGTGAACTTAGAATTTTCTTTAAATTATTACTCCGTGTCTTTTGTTAATTATAATTGAACGCATGTTATTGTGAAATTAACAGGAATCTAATTATGCACACACATAAATTAAAAATAATTACGTTGACATTTTACCTCTTCGTTTCGGAAGATTAAAATATTACAAGTGTACCAATTTTTACCGGGGAAAAAGAAATCATCGCGAACTACACACCCGCGAGCTGACAATCGGATCACGATCGTTATCGCCTTGACGGCAATTCTTTTACCATCACTCGTAGTAAATTAATTTTTCATATCTTTCTCTACATTGTAATCATTACCGTTTAGCTCTAAACCGTTTATTAGTCCATGTTTAAATCTCGTACCTCGTTTGTCCGTAATCTTAACTACAAACCGAGGTAATTACGTTTCAACACAGGACGCGAAGAACGGTTTACGTGAGCGTCGTTCTTTTGGTGACATCAACACAATACTTTACACTTAAATAGATTTGTATGGATTCGTGGTGGTTTTGATTTATTTTTTATTTCCATAATAAATTATCGAGGTTAGCTGTTATGAAAATAAAAACGCTACAACACAATAAACGTTCCCCCATTGTGAAAAAAAATTGTCCACCCCATTATGAATACATTGCAGTTCGAACTAGGTTAGGGGCTTGATTCTAGCCTAATGTTCATAGTTGACACAATTTCACGATCACGGGAGAATCATAAAATATGAAAATAGATCCGAAAGTAAAAATAAGATTTTGTTTTTATATTTTCATAACATTACCCATCAAAGTTGCACACATGCATAACATCTTAAAAGTTTTCTTTGTCCGGTTTTCTTAATTGCGAATATCTCAATGTTCACAATCGCACAGTGAATTATTACCTCCTTCTCAATGTTTAACTCAAAGAACGAGGTACGGAAAATTCTCATATTTATTGATCTTCAAGTTTTTTATTCCATTATTTACGTTCACTATCTGATTTCAAAGCCAATTGTGGCGGACAAAATATTAAATATCTATGTATATACTTATACATACAACTAATCGAGTAATAATTTCAATAATTCATAAGTTCTCCCTTCGCGGATCTGAACCCAACAGTTATGTATTATTATTGTACGTACATTGGCAAGGGAGAGAGATAAGAAAAAAAACATAAAAAGTAATTTTTTCGTGTAACACGGTACTTGGTAAACGTTATCGTCGTGTTCTACTACTTAAATATGATGAGTGCAAAACCATTAATTACTCATAATCACCTGATTATTAGACGTCTCTGTGAATATCGTATACTTGTCTATGATATTTTCTTCCTTCGGAGTGAGCTTAATATTCGTGAAATAGACATCTCTGAACATGTCTTGTACATCTTCGGGCAAAAACCTGAAAACCGAAATTTAGTATTATAGAAAACGACGTGGTATGCACGTTATTTTAGACGTTATAATATGACGATCTTGAGTTGAAAAAAATTTTCATAAAAAACGTATGACTATCGATGTTTGACATTTGAACTGTGAAAACAATAACTACTCCGACAGAATTATTTTCATTTACTTGATAAATTGCAATGGGTAGAAAGAATTATCAGGAACAGTGAATATCCGTTCATTGCGCAAAATTCCTTCGATTATCAATTCACAAGCGTCCTCTACCGGTATTTCCGGAAACCTATAAAGTAAACAACATAAGTAGATGCATACGATGGTATCTGATTAACTGTATTGTCCAGTCAAACCTCAATATTCGATTACTCGAATTGCGCGGGCAGTTTGCGATGAAATACGGACAGACCGTAGTGGTGATTACGTCTGACTTCATTAGTTTGAGCTCTTTAGTTAAGCTTTCCATCATACCTGTCAAAACAAACACAATATACAATACACAAGACGGCAGTTTTATAAAAAACTTGTTATTATATTAGCAATAAAATAAAAGGGCCAGACTCTTAGATGAAAAGAGATACGGGGACGGGTGGATGGTCTTGGTCTTTTAAACTCAAAAAAATTGTGTCATTTTTCTCAAAAAAAATAATTCTAAATGAAAAAGGTAAGGATGGATCATTATTTATAAATATAATAATATATAATATTATAAATGGTTGATATAATGAAAGAATCACATTTCTTAATAAGGACAGTCGAACTTTTAACGTTATAACTTTCGCAACATAAATAAATGTCTACATTTTAGTGAAATCGAAAATTTCAGGTGTCTATAGACAACAAAAATGTATTTAAAATGTTTGATAACTGCTTTTAAATCGTTGTAACTAGTATCATTTAATGGAAATTCATTAAAATTTCATTTTGTAATGCCTAGAAAACATTTTTACGACATTCCACATTTTTTTTTGTTTATAAGAAAAATATAAAACATCGTGTAACCAATTTTCAAGGTTAAAGTATAAATTAGAAGTTAAATATAGGTACTTTAAAATACAAAAAGTAGTATTTTCGTTATACTCGTATATATTTCTCTAGCAAAATGTTATGTTCAAACAATCGTAAAGTTTATTTTGAAATTAAGCTACATTTTTTTTTATTGTACACTTATAAATATATATGGGGAATTTCATAATGAATTTTTAAAAAATGTTGTCGAATCAAAATTATTTTATTGTCATTTTCGAAAACCAATTTAAGAAAACATGAACACTTTAGTTTTCTATTCATAGTTCAAAAATAAATATTTTTAAAATTATCTATAACAAACGGTGATATAAACGTTCAATAAAAACTTTATAACTCTACAGTTATTACTTTAGAGTTTCGATCAAAAAATTTATTCAATTTTTTCGAATACCCGTGTGCCATAAATTTCACCGTATTTTCATAATGTATGTTTTTCTTAATTATTTGGAAAAATTTCGATAAATTCAAAAAATTACTACTAGAAAGTATTTAAAAAAATATATATTTTCTATATTCTAATTTTTATTTGGTGATGATCAGAGCGTATATACAGATACAACAAAAAACACACTCAGTATGGTACTCATATAATATATATATATTTCTCGTTTATTTAAAATCTAAAATTTGGTAACTGTGATATTTTCATGTGAATTATATTAAACAGCGCATTGTCTTTTATTAAATTTTTTCGATTAAATCTATTATACAGTGTTGTATTCTATAGTGTTTATGAGCTCGGAGAAACTTTTTTATTTTTAAATTTATATCGATTTTCATTGAAACTTTGAGAAAAAACATTGAATGTACCGAAAACGAATAACAACTATAAGATAAGTAAGTCAAAACATATGCATTACTGCGATAAATTACTGTGCGACTTTTAATAAAAATTAGTGATAATATTTGACAGGACGATGTGAAAAAATATCTTTGTGTATATTTGAGAAAGAAATTAATAGGTTAGAAGTAAATACTTGTATATTAGTTTTTAATGATAATATAGATAAGTCTTGATAGTATTGTAAAAAATTATTTTATTTTAAATTTCGTAGACGAATTTCATTCAAAGTAATAATAATAATAAAAAAAAAAAAAAAAGGCTTTAGTTATCATAAAATGTTATCGTTCACGGGGTTTCAGAAAGAAAAATTAGTCGGACGTGTTATTAAAATTTTTTAATTCGGTACTACGACAGGTGGTTTTAACGATACATATCTGTCCCGGGTCTGAGATTATAATAATCAAATAAATCGCTTACCGTTCACAGCGAATTTGGTTGCAGAGTATGCGAAATGAAATTCTAATCCTTGAAATGACGTCATTGATGATATTGTCACGATATGGCCAGTGTTTCTTTCTAACATCGAGGGTAATATTTCTCTGATCACCTACGAAAAGAAAAAAAAATCTACTGTGTGCATAGTTTACACGGTCCTGATATATATTTTTTTACTCCGTAAATGAAAGAAAATATTTGTTTTCCATTTAGTGTATTATATTTTCCGTACAAACAAAATATTTCCTTGCAGTTACGGATCGTGTATTGTTCGAGAGCAATACAGTCGTATCTTTGGCCGGAGAAACGAAAGCGGAATGGTGATATCACAAAGACGGAAAGCACAACTAACTGAAAGTTAGGTATCCAGCAATACAAAAATAACTCGCAAAGTTTCAAAAATTAGTAGCTTTATAATCGCTTGGTTAAGTTTTATTTTTATTCGTAACTTATAACTTTATGAATCACAGTTTTTATCAGTTATAAAAGTTTTTTCCGTGCGCTCAGCATACAGGGTATTTAGAATTATACGTAACAGCTAATTTATATGGATGCGCGTGAAGTGTTTAAGCTAAAATTAAGGCTATGCGAAAACGAATAGCTAACTGTTGAATCTTAATAAATCCGAACTTGATTTTGATATTCTAATTGATCATTTAGACAAAAATTCCCGTTCAGGTTTGTTGTTTGAACGATCTACGTACCCTGTACATTAGGTAAAATGATGGAAAGCAATTTCAAGGAAATCGATATGCGCAATTTTTGAAAATATAGGTATAGGAATAAGTAAAGGAATAATATAATTTTTTTTTTTAATTCTTTTTTTTTTTTTTTTTTTGAAGCTATTCTCGCTCGGCTAAAGTTATTCACGAAGAACAACGCACACGTCACGCTCGCACCGGCTACCGCGTCGACAACACCGTGCTGCGCGTATTAGCATACGGTACGCAAAACAAGCGCATTTTACCCAAATCTGACCGAGTAGATTCGTGTTGACTATATCCGTTATGACGTCGTCGACTTCCGGGTCCGCGAACAATGTGTTCTTGACCACACCCGCGTTGTTGACCAACACGTCCACGGGTCCCATTAGGCGTCCGACCGCCGCGTGCATGTCCATCACCTGCCGCCGGTCCGTGATGTCGGCCACGAACCCCTCGGCCACGCCGCCCTCCGCCCGGATCCGTTCAACCGTCTCGTCGTTGCCCGCGCCGTCCTTGTCCACGCATGCGATCTTCGCCCCCAACCTGTGGAACTGCAACGCGAGTTCGCGACCGTTCCCCCGGGCGGTCCCCGTGATCTGCAAGCACACGAATAACCGTGGTTAGGCGTTCGGTTCGTTTGGTTGAATAGTTTTGGTCACAACTAGTCGTCACTATCACCCAACGTCCGATGAAATGTGCCGAAGAGAAATGTTAAATACAGCAACACCTGCTCGGGTGCGGTTTCGATGAAAACAAATCGAAAACATAGGCCGTAGCTTTAGACACGTGGTGTAATCAGTTGTCGTGCACGAATGATTTGCTTAAAATAATATTGAATATCGTAATCGGTATCAGAAATTAAAAATAAAATACGAGTTACAAAAAATATAAAATTCACCTGGAGTTTTGTTTATGTGGAAATGTTTATAAGCTGTTTTTTTTTTTTTTTTTTATTTTAATTTTAATAACATTACGGGCAATCAGCCCAAGGAAAGAAAACTAAAAAGATGCCAAAATGTCAATAAAAATTTATCAAAATCGCAATATAAATATATTAAAATTATATAGTAAAATCATATCATACATATTCATTAATTACTTACTCAAATAATATTATAAATAATATATAATTTTTTTTTTTTAATAATTATATACATCTCTAAAATATGTTCTTGAAAATTGTATCGTCTGTTACTTAAAATATGTTTATATAATGAAAAAGTACGTTCAACGTTTACACTTGTTCTCGATGCATACTAAAAATTATTTAAAAAAATTGGTGTTATATCTAAATTAACATTTTTGATTTTCTATCATAACCTCAGACTAAGTTTTAATAGTTTTATATCCTTCATTTTTTCTAAGACATATTTTAATTTATCTTTAACTATTTTCTTATTGGGACCGAGAATATCTATCAAAATATTTTCAATTTTACTAAATATATTTAAAATATTAATTAATTGATTATTTGAGTCTTCTAAAATTGTGAGTTTTGTGGATAACTACGATAAATATAATTTAAAAAATGCTAAAATAAATTTAAATACATTTAAAAATTTACGCCATAATTATATTTTTACTTTAAAATTACATTAGAAATTATAATTTATATATTTTATCATTTAAAGTACACAAAAATTGCAATAATTGCTTAAATTATAAAAAATTGCTTTATTAAATTAAATAGGAAGACTGTAATTAATCCGATTCGTATACATATTTAATCAAATTTGAGTTACCTGGTATCAATAAATAGTTACAATATAAATTAAATCTGGTCTTTAATAATAATAGACATGTATACAAAATAATAAAAAAAAGTACAACCAGTACAGTTAATATCGGTATAATTTTTGTTTTAGTTGTATAATGGCTTTATAAACGATTCTTTTTTTTTTTTTGGGAGCAGTGATATTTCCCATTCGAAAAACTTTTCATACGTTTTCTGATACGTAAATACACACACGCATAAAACTAATTCGACTCAGCGTCATTTTAGAAACGCGATGCATTACAATGACGATTATTGTTTTGAAAATTAAAATAATGATACAGCGCCAACCTGTCCCGAGATGACTGAAGCGAGACGAGATCATCATCCTCGCCATTCCTACATTTACATTGTCGTTTGTGCGCTCGAAAAAAAATAAAAAAATAATAATCACGCGACACAATTACGGGGGTTCGTTTTATTTTTATTATAATTTCGAACTCCCTGTGAACCGCGTGCAGTAGGCGCTACTCCGAGAATCTATTATTACACTTAAACGGGTGCTTTAAAAATTCGAAAGCCTTTTTTGGCGAATGTAAACATGAAATTCACTGTTGTTGTATAGTGGCCAGGTGCGATAAAGAACCGTGTTCGCCATGAAATTAAAACGCGTATTTTCACGACAGGACACGTTTCAATGTTATCACAATAATAATAATATATTAATATGCGTACCAAAATCACTTTCCCCTGGACACTTTTTGGTTCCGCTGGAAAGTAAACGTACAAAATCATCGATACGATAATTTTCGGGATGTTCAGTATGACACACAGTAACACTTCGAAACAGAACGAGATTGGTTGCGCTGGTATAAGGTACTCTTTGAAAAACACGCTCAACAGTTTATGAACGAGACCCATGTTTGTCCGTTGTAAAAGGTTCGAAGCCAAATTTCCAATCGATTCGGTACACACATTACACGCACCGAGTTGTTGTACGGCACAGTTGATGCGACTAAAATTCAATTACACGTACGTGTCGTTTCGTTCGAGTTTACAGTAGTAGTCTATGAATAAATTTTAATTTTAACGGCCTCGTTTGAAATTAATGTTCAAGTTCTTAATTTGGGGGTTTTCGAGACACATACATTAGCGAAAAAGTTGTGCTCGCATCGGATTTCAATATCAAGTTGACAATGCAATACTTCGATCGAGTTTTTCTTTTTTCATATAATTCACTCTAAATGCGATGCAACAATTTACACTTGTTTGACGAAAAGTCCTGAATTATTCGTACGTATACACGTAAACGTTTGGAAAAACATTTCAATGAATATTCTGTTGTCAAATAGTAACGACTGAGCATTTAAAAACACAGCATTCGAGCTTTCCATTATGTTAATATATACGGTGTACTTTTTTATTAAAACTTATTCATCTTGTCAAATGTCATATATTTTACTGGGTCGCGTGTAGAAAAAATTAAACATTTTGTGACTCGATTTGCATTTAGATGTATGAAATAGTGCGATGCAATAGATATTTAATAATTTTGAACTATTTGTTAGCACCCGTTATTAGCTAGTAGCAATTATTAATTTTCCATTGTGAAGACGTGTGTTATCCGATGGACATTTGATTGATCGTAGTATTTCAATTGAAAAAATATTATATAATTAATTTTAAGTTTGTAAGGTTTTTATTCGGGAGAGCAAATAAAGACATGTTCATTGACGGTGGACCAAAAACAAGTACTAAAAAAATATCATCCTTTGCCGATCATATATATTTATAAATATATACAATTGTACGAATCAACGCAAAAAAAAAAAAAAAAAAAGAAAGAAAAATACAAAATTAAAATAAATTTATGGTTCGTAAAATTGAAATAAGTTGAAAAAATCATTTTTGCTATCCATAAAAAAATTGATCAATACTTGGCTATTATTTTACGCATCATATCGTTGAAATAACATACTTTTTTTATGAATCTTTATGCAAATCTATTTTGCAATAAACTATAAGCAGTTTTATAGCTAACATTGAAACAATAATAGTAAATGGAAATCATTTTTACAGGTTCACAAATCGTTATTGTAATTTGCAAATAGCAGTTTGACTTTATTTATTAAATTTAAACATCACTAGCCTATACTTTTATTTTAAGCTACAGTTAAATTTAATTAGTTTAAGTTGTTTAAATCTGATTAAATAAAATATTAATCCAATGCATAATATTTTTCTTTTACTTATAAAATGTAATTAATTTTATACACTTATATCCCTTAAGAGATTAAAATAAGCATTTATCTCGATAAAATGTTTAACGTTTCCGTGTTGATTGTATTCAATGATTATTTATTAAAATACATTCGTTCGGAAGTACTGCAAAACAAAAGAGGTGAAACTATCAGCGAAATTCTATTGTATTCAATTTCAATTGTTTGAATATACCGGTAGCGATTATTATATTATATTTAAACTTAAATTTAAATATAACAATTAAATATAAATTCTGATAAAATGTTTGTGAAATCAGCTTTGTGAACCGGTATTTATATTTGTCACTATTCATCTTGGCGTATTAATATTGGCTTTGACGGGTAAATTAATTAATCTGGGAAACACATTATAATGAGTCTAGAATGGTGTACACTTATCAGTTACTACACAGAGTTTGTATTTTCTAAGGGAGGAAGGGGAGGTTTAGTCCCTCCCCCTCCTCCCTTAAAAATACATAAAAATCCATGATAGTCGGCGGTACTGGCTAAAAATAATCATAATAATTTTCGCGATCAGAACGAATCGAGTATTTTTTTTTGATAATGATATCAAATATGATTAAATTATCGAAAACTAAGGCCGCGGAAACGAAAAGACGCTAATTTCGTCAGAAGGATAAACACGTCTACACGTATTGTTAGTAAGATATTATCACATCTGCTTTTCGGGAACCAAAGAATACCCACCGTCGTAATCGTGAATAAAAGTTGTGAAAATAATATAATGGAAGAATATCTTTCATTTTTCATATCGTTTTCATGACTATGTGAAAATCTTGTATCACTGGATGACTGGAAATATTCGTATAAGTTACAGTTCACATTGGTTTTGCGATTGTTATCCGACAATCCGCAACAACTATTGCTAACATTCACCACAAGTTATAATAAAATACTACTGCACAAGACGAGTTACTACGAGATAAATATCGCGCTGGTCAGTTTATGACAAAACGATGTAAAACAAATGTAAAAGTGTATTCGAATACTTCATATTAACATGGTTTTTAATAGTTTTACTTTGACATAGGAAATTACAAATTTATTTATCCTCCTAAGGTTGCTGATTATGATACCTTTGGGCTTATGGCACAAACAATTAAATATACATTGACTTAAATATTACATAATTTGGTATACTAATATAATAACGAAATATCAACAAAATTTTATCATTTTTAGTTGTTAAGGTCTTAAAGTCCAACTTCCTCTACTAATTAGATTACTATAGGGAAAATGGTGGAATTTTATTTGTATCTACCAGAATTTGAAATTAAAACTAAATCCATGATTTTTTTTTTCAAATCATTGTATCGCTTAGTAAAAAAAAGTTTTGGCAATATAAATATGTATTACATTTTAATTTAAATGTTCCAAACTATGAAATTTGTATCCCTCTTTTATTCACCTATACATTTTAGCAGCGTTATAAGCTAAAAACAAACAAGTTGTACATAATATCTGTAAACAATGGCCATATAGACATTTTATAGTTTTTGAATTAAAAATCATAAATCATATACAATAGAAAACGCAATAGAAAATTAATTGAACAAATAAAAACGCGATTTAAACATTTTATTTAACCGTATTTGACAAAATTCTAATGTTAACACACGTACCAAATCTAGCATTAACAATTTGAAAATTATAAATCATTAACGGCTGTGACAACTAACTCTTTCCTCTGGTATTTCTTCAACGTTTCGTAATCGGATTTTTTATATCTAAACGAGCTTCCTAATATTTTAAAAATAGAATATTGCGATTTACTCGGTAGAATTCTGTAAACACAATTCAAAATATTTTTTTTTTTGTACAAATATTCAATTTTTACGATCAATACGTGCAACGAGTCGAACTGTTGCAAAGGAAACAGTAATGATCGCTGTTGAATACATTTACCTGAAAAGTATCACCAGTAGGTACATTTTGCTGGGAACTGTAAATATTTTCTTGTTCTTCAATATTCCGTCTACTATGGAATCACAGGTTGCATTAAGTGATAACTTTGACAAGCTTAAATTAATAAAAGATCTTAAACATTAGTACATATCCGTTATGTCCAGATAAAATTATTGTAGAACATTATTTTTCGTTTGAAAAAATTCTAAATATTATATTATGTGTAATGAGTTACTCGTCATCATACACGAGTGGATGTATCAAGTGAGATTTTTTTAACTGTTAATATATTTTTGTTCGTTTAATTTTTGAATAACATAATTTGTATTTTTTCAAGTCTTCACGTTCTTTTCTTTTTAATTTCATATTTTGGAAAACTCAATCACGAATCTCGTAAAATTAATACCGTAGTTATAATTTTGTTAATCTAATATTTATATTTCCATAACTATTAATCAACTATAGTTTCGACATTTTTGAAAATAATTCTGCTTCAGAGAGTAAAAGGAGAGTAGAATTAAAAGTTTTGAGTCAATTAAAAGAAATATTTTAATTTTAAACAAGATTATTACAATAAATAGTATTATTATTATAAATATCATACTAATTTTGCAACAATAATTTCAAGTTGTAAGAAAAAATGTTCAAGAAATGAAGTTCTAACGTTTAAAAGTTACACAAGTCTTATATTATAATATTTATACCCCATATTGTGAAAAATTAAAAATAATCAAGTTTACGTTTATTGCTCTTTGAAACATAATAGTAAAGCTATCAACATCAGCTAGAAAAAACACTCTCGGCGCTTTTATAATTAAAATGTATTTATAGCTTCTGATTTATGTTCGTAAGAATTCGAGCAAGATATTTTAGATCTAAGACTGAGTTTAGTGAAACACAAATTGAAAACGAGTAACGTACGAGAATTCGTTGCAAACGACAATATATGCCAATATATATGCCAATCGCTGTATTTTCATGAGACTTAATATTAATAATATTAATATTTGAACCTTATTTAATTAGATCGAGCTTCTTTTTATTTTCGATGAAATTTTTTTTAACCAAACTCGGAATGATTAATATTCGAATATTCATGTTAAATATTATATTAGACAGAGCTCTTAATACACGTGAATTCACGGAATTCACGTGTCACGAGTCACGTGTAAAATTCAAAATAAAAACGTATATCCTTAACTTAATACTGTACTATTAATATTTTATTAAAACTTCAAGTGTATAACATAAAATTACTAATTTTACCATTGTAAAAATGGATATATATTTTGGATAAACATGCATTTCACGTGACACGTGAATTCCGTGATACGTGTTTTAAGAGCTCTATATTAGAGCAGTATGAATACACTATGAATATTTTATGAAATGATTTTCGGTGGTAATTAATACGTTTTATTCTCTATTGCACACAATAAGCATTCCAAACATTTTGAAACCACGTCGTTGTAACCTTACTGTTGAGCACAATAACCCACAATGTTAGCATGTGACCGAATAAATTGATCGTATTATATATAATAATATATAATATAAATATCAGGTAAGAATCTTAGTTTTTGTTTGGTCGTTTTGATGATGCATACACGATAAATAAATAAAGAGCTTTCCGGTGAGATAACATATTGGCGAGACCTTGGTCGGACGTTGGACGTTACTCGGATGCCGATGTTCGTATTATTTATTAAAATTTAAAAGCGATGATGAATCATCGTATCAAAATATGCAAAGTGGAGGTCGATATAATATTGGTATTATACTTGTATTGAAGTTGAAAGAAAAAAAGATTGATCGTCAATATTTGTGAAAATAATCAGTTTTGTCAAGTTTTTTTTTTTTTTTAACACGTAGCTTTATGTACAACTTTTAAATTATAAACACAAAACGCACTCCATTTATAATCTAATGTTGCGTTATTTTGGTTAGGTTAGAAAATAAATTAATAAATCGGTGTCGCAATCCCACGTGGATGTACTTAAACATCGCCTATAAAAATGAATAATAAAAAAATAAAAACAAGACGATATCGTTTACGAACCTGTTTTTTGTTACACTTTTAGAGACGTCCGAATCAAAAAAGTACGGGCACACAGTGGTTACGACGATATCCGAACCTAATAGTTTTAGTTCTTGGTCCAGAGCTTCCATCATGCCTACGAAAATAAAATATTCGTATTTCAGTTTCAAGACATGAAATTAATTTTATAATTTTCAAACACACACTCGGGCAGTTATTTGAAATATTGATGCATACAAGTAAGTTTTAACATAATCGCATTACATTTTTCCTCACACGTACAAGGGTGTGCTTTTGGGTTTGCTCAAAAGTACAACGAATCGAAAAAATATTTTTCTCCGAGAAATAAAGTCAATGCAATAATGTATTCGTTCTGTACCGCGTGTGCGAAATCTCACCTGTTACTCCCCACTTGGAAGCCGAGTAGGCTGTAAGAGAATGATGTCCAATCAAAGATGCAACCGACGAGATCGCAACAATCTGTCCACTATTTCTCTCTAACATCGAAGGAAGTATTTCTTTATTCATCTGAAATCGAATTTAAACATAGAGGATCAGAAAAAAATTTTAACGCCAAACATGGTTATTCATGGTATAACGATTCTGGCTATCCGATAATTTCCAAGAATTTTATACTTAAAGGTAAGCCTAAAAATACTCTTAAAATTATTTTTATATTGAAAATAAAATATTTGTATCATTCAAATCATTAATTATTATTTTCCGTCATGTTAATATTCTTTTATGCTAAAAACCTTTTCCAAAAAATTAATTTACTGTTATGATTGACAGGTAGCTGGAGCATTGAATTCGTCTAGTAAAATCTTTTACTACAAAATTGAATTAAAATTAAGGTATTATTCTTCTTTTAAAGCGTTAAAATGACGATTGAGACGGATGTAATAAACAGGAGGATTTTTTTTTCCTTTATAAATACACAAGCTGTTCCTAAAAGGTACAATAAGAGAATCTGCTATAAGTATATATGTAACATGACAATTTGATAAAATAAGCCTCCCAATGATGACACTTTTAATTTTGAATTATTATTTTAGACAAATTTTTTTTTTTTTTGCTTAGTTAAAAGATCTCTAAAAAATTTGTGCTTCGTCTCGAAGGATTTCCAGGAATAGAATTTGTTAAGAGAGCTTTAATAAGAGGATTGGAATGAGAGGCTAAACGATTGTGGAATCTGCTATAGTAAATTATTGCTTCTTCTTTGACAAATTTAATTTTTAAATTAGTGTGGAAAGTATGATTTGAAACATATGAGGGAAAGCTTGTTAGTTTTCTTAGAGCAATGTTTTGAAAAGCTTGATTCGGTTTATATTCGACTTTTTAGCATTTTTCCAGAGTTGGAGATCATAAGTCTCAATGGGTTTAATGAGGGATTTATACATTAGTAGTTTCATATTTAGGTTTGTGTGTTTGTTATTCACTAGTAAAGTTTTGAGCATACGAAGTCGGAGGTTTAGCTGAAGTCTTTTTAGATGCGTATGATGGGCCCAAGTGAGTCGGTGGTCTAGGGTTAGGCCGAGGTATTTTACAGTCTGAGTAGATGAAATTTGAGTATCGAAGAGGGTAACGGCTGGGAAATGTCTGAGCATAAGAGTAAAGGTTGTGTGATTTAATTTAGTTTGATTGACCTTAATCCTCCAATTATTATACCAAATATCCATAAGGGAAAGATTATGTGATGTGACAATGGGGTCTTCGTTTGTAGATATAATAACTTTATCATCAGCATAGTCTGCCACCATTGTGTGGGACGTGGTTGGTTGATCTAAAGCAAATAGTTATACAGAATTGGGGTAAGGATGCCTCCCTGTGGAACACCAGTACTGATAACAGCTAAATTAGAATATGCGGATTTAAAATTAATTTGAAAGAAGCGATCAGTTAGACTGATTATGACAGTTATATAGACATATATAATATATATAATAGACATAATATAGACAGTTATGACTTAAGGAGAGTATAATTAGTAGGGGGCAAAAATTTCTTTAGCTTGTAAAGAAGTCTTTGGTGCCATACTCGGTCGAAGGCCTGTTGAATATCCAGAAAAACACAAGAACAATACAGTTTTTTTTTTTCAAGTGCAAAAGAAACTGAGTCAACTAATCGATACGCTTGATGAATAGTTGGGTATTGTGTGCGGAAACCAAATTGATAGTTGGGTTGAATTTTATTTTCACTAATAAGAGGAAGCATCCATTGCAATGTGAGTCTTTCCAGAACTTTAGAGAAAAATGGTAGTATACTAATTGGTCTATACGATGTTGCCAAGTCTGGATGCTTATTTGGCTTTGGGAATAGAATGATTTTAGAGAACTTTAATAGGAGTGGGAAGTACGACAGTCTAAGTATTGCATTGAATATATGGGTATGTAGTACAATTGCGCGTTTAAGTAGGCATCTAGCCACTTCCGCATTTATTAAATCGAAGCCCGGTGACTTCTTGAGACAGTATTTTTGAATGTTAGATTTAATATCGCTCGTTGAAAAATGTTTGACCGGGGGAATATTTTCAATAGTAAATCAAGATATCTAAGTACCGCATTTGTGTTAGTATGTAAAACAAGACGGTTAGGTTGGAAAACATTAAAAATGTGATTTTTAAATAGTTCGGATTTTCCAGAGTCTGACGAAACGTAGCTTCCATCAGATCTTCTAATAGATGGAGTAGTAACTTTATAATGAAGTGATAGCTCAGCCGCTTTCCAAAGACTGCCATTATTAGTTGATAAATTAGTCAGGAAGTTTTCAAAGGAACGATTTTCGACTTTCGATAAGACTTTTTTAAGAGTATTGGCTAATTTATTGTATATTTTTTTGTGGGAGGGTAGACGAATGCATTGATATATAACTTGAGATCTTCTCTTTTCAGCTATAAGGATACAGATATTCGTCAGAAGCGAATTAGTATTATTATTATGTACATGTTTTTTAGTTGTGTTGGCAGACCAAGCTGCTGTTTGAATAACATTCGTGAGGTTATTTACAGCTGTATCTATATTATCATTAGATTTTAATCTTACATTTATAAGAAGGTCCTGATTCACAAGGTCGTGAAATTTGTATCGATCAGTAGAGGCGTAAAATAGCTTTGTTAGTACAATACTGATTGGAGGATAGTCATTAAGGGTGAGAATAACCGATGAATGGTCCGAGTTTAAATCCAGAATATTATTATATCAAGGTGTAAATTTAAAGTGGTTTTTTGTTATGAAGATATCCAATATATTAGGATTTTATGGGGGGATGATGGCTAATAAGTAGGATCTGAGGGAGCAAGTACCTTGAATTTTTTAGAATTTATGAAATTATAGAGAACGTTTCCACGGGGATTGTTTACCTTACAGTCCCAACTCTAATGCTTCGCATTATAATCACCACCTATAATAAAGTTGTTGTTTATTGTGTTGACATAATTGTTAAAGTTCGCATGAAAAACATTATGTTTTGGAGGTGAATACAGCAACTGTGATTGGAACGTTATTTAGATGGATTTGTATAGCACAAGATTGAAGAAAATCTTCACAGAACTTTGGGAGGGATTAGTATATTAAAGTAAATATTACTAAGATTGCTACACCACCAAGGAGAATTTAAAACTAAATTGTTGTCAAATTTTATTCTATTTAATAAAATGCAAAGATTCAGTGTAATGAAAAACGTGAAAATATACACGGAAAAAATCAAAAAAAATTTCTAAAAATATATGTACATGTTGTAGGCGTTCGACTAAATGTCTAGGTAAGCAATAAAACCGTGGGAAAATGACTTTTCCTCGACAGTTTCCTCCTAGACATTTAGTAAAACTCCCGGTTCCACACTGCAAGCCTATGTCGGTGGTAAGTTGCTGGAGACGGATTGTGATCGTATATCTATTATATTAAAACGAAACGCAAACCCGTTCGCGGTGAACGTTCGTATCGTATCGTTACGGTTTTGATTAGCAGTGGTTTTCTACGCACCCAAAACTGGGCCAAAAGGTTCACGTTTACGATGTCCTTTACTAGATCGTCGGATTCCCGGTTGACGTAGATGTTCGAAAGGACCACGGCCGCGTTGTTGATCAACACATCCACGGATCCCAGGGCGTCTTTGACCACGCCGTGCATCTGCCTCACATTCTCCCTGTCTGTTATATCCACCGTGTACGTTACCGCCGTGCCGCCCTCTGCGCGGATCATCTCGCCCGTCAGATCGTTGCCCGCACCGTTCACGTCCACGCACACGATCCTGGCCCCGAGCCTATGAAAACTCAATGCCAGTTGACGGCCCAATCCTCCGGCCGCACCGGTGATCTGTGAAACGAATCGAAACGTTCAATCAAAAACGTTCGACCAACTGATAACACTATTTCTGATGAATCCGTATAGGAAATATATTGTTACGGGGGCGTATTTAAAGGATGGCGAAGGGGCGATGCCCCCTCTAGGTTCGTATTTAAGGAATCGAGTGTATGTGAGATACACACTTCAAATTTTTTTAATGTGGATCATTTTATAACGAAATAAAATTACGCGTGGCTGTGAATACGGAATTTGGCTTTTAGTCGGGTCCGTACTAAATGAAAAATAAAATAAAACACAAGCGTAATTTTCAAAACACAGACAGGTGTTAAAAAATAACTGCACAAGAGTCGATTCTAAGTGGATCCGGCATTAAATTAAAAAAAAAAAAATACAACAAATATAAAGGATTCACCATATTTAAATATTACCAACAATTTTACTTGTAAATGTTAAACCAAAATTAAAGAAAACATTTAAGTTTCCCCCTCCCCAAGAAGTAAGTCTTAATACGCACTTATATTGTCACCGGTGATTTTTATAGTAACAGTTTCATCGTTACAGTTTACGAAAATTCTATCTATGCGACTAGCTCCCCGCCTCCTCCCTAGTTCGAATAAAAAATATTTCAATTAATATTAATATAAAACTCAACGTTTATATCTTACACTATTACCTTTGAGCATTTGATGGCTTTTATTGTTATTGCATTTCTATTCATTATAAAAATTCAAGTATTTCTTGTATAAAAAAAATAAAATAAAACAAGTTATACTCGAAACGTATGTTGACGAATAATAAAATCAACGCATACAAGTTTTATGACATAGATCGATAGCGAAATAAAAATATTAAAATTTTTTAAAATAATTTACAACGTTCTATTGCGTATTAAAACTATTAGGTAATTTAAAATTTTAAAAAATATCATAACACAATTTATTAAGTCTTTGAAACGACAAACTATGAGATCATCAAGTATTTTTATTGACTTTATTGGATTTAAATTGATTTCTTTTCGTGTATCTATTAGTGAGTTCTATGTTTTTTGAGCGTCTGAATAATAAAAAAGTTCTTACCAAAACCACTTTTCCGCGAATGTCTCTCGGTTTTTGTGTTAAACATTGAATTCCAGCCCATATATAATTAGGTAATAAAAATAAAATAAACAAAACCAAAGACCCAAAAAGTTTTAGAAGATCTTTTGTAATAAAACTGTTTTGTTTTTTAGTGATGTTTTTGACTTTCGATTGCCCCATGTTTGATAATGCAACAACTGAAACTTCGCGTCAGAATTATAAGAATTATAAGTCAATCGAAGCAAGGTCAACAGAAAAATAAGTATTCAAATTTATGTAAATCAATGGTTAAAAATGTTATTTCAACATGCATAAATCATAATTACGTATTGTCAAATGTTCTAATTAAAGGCAAATTATAGTTCATATTTATTAACCAAGTAACTAATATGGTGAATAATTAGTTTAAATGCATAATACATTCATGCATTTGTTTGCACATGTAATCATCTTCGACCGATCAGTCACGTGTATTATTTTGTAATATATTGTTGTTATAGTTGTATACTAATGGTTCTTTAGTAAAAAAAATTTAAAAAAAACCATAGGATTTTTACATTAAACATTATCCACAACAAACCCCCCTCCCTACGATTAAATATACTGGTATACTTTTAATTTAAAAGAAGAAGGGATATATGAAAAATCTTAATAATCCTTGGTGGATCAGTAGCAATAGCGTCGAAATCGCAAAAGCCACGATCGAACAGTTTATGAGGTACATGAATTTAATCATGCGTCAAGACCAGTGCCGCAAAAACCGGATGTACCGAGTGTGCCGTGCACATGGGCTCCAAGGCTTACATACATTTGGGAGGCCCCCTAGTCCCAGCCTAAAATAAACTACACTTCATAAACACACAATTATTTAATTACATTATATTATTATTTTATAATAAAAATAAACTTTTTTTTAACTTTTTTTAAAATTCAATTAAGAATGTTATAATATTTATTTGAGACCATGAGTCCATTGAGTATTTGAGTAGGCATTCAACATACCTACCTAAACTACTTAAATTAATTTACTACATTAATATGTAGTGAAGTATAATATACAATAGTTGTAGGTATTTAATTATATATATATATACATATATCATACACTAACTGATGTGAAACGTGTTTTAAAACCTAAAAAAATTGATACTTTTTTCCTCCTATTTTATATTTCCGGCACTGGTCAAGATATTAGAATCTGAAATGTTGTTCGACGATATAACTGATTTTATTTCGATAAAACATACAGCGTAGGTACTAGTCAATATCGTTAAGATGAATAACGCGGGCTTCAAATTATTCACGTGCATAACAGTTTTATCGTCTGTTTTTCGAACACCATTCTACCACTGCTAGGAAAAATAATCACAGGCGCGTAAAAATGTTTTAATGTCCATTAAACATGAGCATATTAATAGCTCGCCATTCGCGCTCCATTTATAAACGAAGCGAGAAGTTCAGGTGTGTATCAACCGATCGTTATTATATCCTGTTGACATTGCTAACGATTAGCTTAATGTTTCAATTTGTCATCGAATAATATGCACAGGAGTTGGTTTAATGTACATTATACGGTAAAAAAAAAAAAAAATAAAAAAATATGTACAATGCATGTAGGTTTTGACGGCGCTTATTTTTAATCTCCATAAGTTTTTAGTAAACATTATAAATAATAATAATCATAACAATAACGTGACGTTTTTCTAATACCAAACGACAATATTGATATGAAAACAATATCCGAAATTAAAAACAATTTTCTTTTTAACAAAACATTAGTTTCGAGTGCAATTACAATGTGTTATTTACTTATTTAACTTCTGAAAAAAATGTACATTTGGTTAAGAAATCGGAGTTAACATTTTAATTAAATTTCAAATTTTAAAGGGGTTGAAAAAAAAAGTTCCCAATATTATTTTGTGTACCGAAAACGGAGCCTACGGATAAAACGATTGTTCATTATAATACTCGTATATCGTATATCTAATAAAATTAATAATCGTGCAGAGCGTATAGAGTTGTAGTCTGAAGCAATAATTATGGACTGTTGTCCACATATTGTTCGACTTTTTCTGGAACACACAAAACCTTGTTTTGTTTTCATTTTGATCGCTACCTTTCATTGACAACTAAAACCTACGCGTTTCTGAAATGTTGACATTGTACAAGCGACCAACACTATTATAAATCATTTTGAACCAAAAATATTTTTAATCAACTTCGTTAAATTGTTTTGTCGACTTTCAAAATATACCTACTACTGGTGCCTACGTGATATGAAACACATTGCATCCAAAATATAATAATCGAACAAAAATATCTGTAACAACTAGAAATTATGTCCACATATACTAGGCAATGATGAAAATTCAAATCATTGTTGAGACCCACTATTAAAAATCGATTAGTTACCCAAAGAGTAACAATTTGAAAGAGGGATCGGTTACGGATCATAAATCACAAAAGCATGATTTTCATATGATGCGTAAAAGGTCGTAAGTTTATCGATTATATACCCATTCTTTTACGGTGAAACGACACATTTAATAATAAAAATAATTACCTTCATGTAAAACGAAAAAAATTAGTTCTGGTGTTAAATATGCTAATAATTTTTTTATAATTTAAAAAGTTTCAGATTATGAATACTCTTACAAGTTTAAAACAATTCATATATCATAGCGAATGTCGTTTATGTAACTGATGAGTTGATACCTACTAATGTTTAAAATCAGTTAAAGATTTTGGTTATTTGATGTACGATAAGAAAATCAAATATAGATATAGAAATTATTGAAAATCGTGGGAAATATGTTGTTAATTTGTTTATAAAAACTGTCAGTAAGGAGACTAAAGGGTTTAATAAGGTATTGAATTCGTTTGAAATTTTTGACATTGATTCAGAAGTAATGGACACTCATTTAGCGGTTATTGAGCTGGTGTATAACGGACCGGACAAAGTTGTATAGGAGACATGACGAAGAGTATAGTTTGACGTTTTACTTTTTCAGTTTATTCATGGGTTCTGTACATTTTCTGTACATTACAACCTTCACATAATTTTACACGTGACATGAACATAGTGCACACCAAGTCCGAAGTCCTTGATGCAATTCTAAGTTGAATGATCTTCGCCACAATTAACTGTTAATTGCAAAAGCAAATTAATTAATCTGTTGATTGCAGTAATTACGCGTACAATCATATGCTTGACACTGTTTCGTTTTGCGTGTGGGTTAGCAAAAACCACTACAAAATAGAGCAGTGCATTAATCTTAAAGATTTCTTGGTTCTTTTCATTATGAGCCAATTTTACGTGGAACAGAGGATGATGACTTTTTTAGAATTTAACGATACGCGTGACCAATGTTTGGCCTAGTTCGACCAGATTGTTTAAATATTAATTAATATTGTAGAATGATTGAGATTTATAATTATTATCTTGAATTGGCTTTTTCAGTGCAGCCAAAAGGAGTCAAGTCCTGTATCGGTATCTTTTAATTAATGAATAATTATATTATAGGGATGTGAAACGATTGAGAAAATTTATCGAAATATCAAAGGAAAAAGAAATACAAAATAAACCTACACGATTGAGCATAAAAAGTGTTAATTTTCAATGGATTATAAGATCCGATTAGAATATTTTATAAATTACGTTCAACATTAACATATAAAAATGACTAATTATAATATGAATAATTATTTTTATAAGAACAATCCCACAATGCTATACAATAATAAAAATAATTAAAAACAAAAAATTCTGTTTACATAATTATTAAATTATTCAATCGAATTAAGGCTATACAATTCAATTTTTATTTCAGCAGCTATCGATATTATCCTATTTACCGAAGAAGATAATGCATTATTTGTTCTTTGCGTGAATATATAAAACGTAGTGGTAGGTTTGGTTCTACAAAGAGGAACTTCGAAATGGAAAGAACCTAAAATTTCGGGACAGTCAATAAAATCCCAGGCAAGTTTGAATAAAAATTTCATATCAGATATTTTTCTTTCTTCAGATAAACCAAAAATATCAAATAAAAATAGTAGTGGCTTATAACGAAAATTTTACACTAGAGTTAAATTACATTTGAAGACAATAAAACAAAGAAATCAATTTTTAACAATATCTAAGCATTAAGTTTGATAATTAAAGTGAACAAACCACATCTTGTCTAAATCGAATATTTTCATGAATTACTTAAAGTTTCCAGTTTTATTATAAAATTGTGATATTTCCCTTATCTATCTATATATTATCGTATCATAGTATATTTACTATCGAAAATAAGGTCATTAGTGTTATCGTTATCTAACTGTTCTACTACGGGACAACGATTCATTATCCACTAACATAAATAAACACTTCAATGTTCAGTGCTCTTTTCATATCAAGTTGAAATTTTCAACGTGGTCGTAGGTAATTTTTCATTTCGTTATGTCATCAAAACGTGTGCTGAAAACGCTAATATACGATAAAAAAGCGGAAGTAATACGAGAAGTTTAAAATAAATTGAAAACAAAGTGTTTGAAAGCTACAGAATTTGACATTTTACTTGACATTTAACACTTTGTCAACTCATCTTAAAAATAAAGAAAACATATTAAGTAAGTTAGCTTTGTCCAGTAAAATGGATAGAAAAGTGTTAGAGAACCGGAAAATCCTGATGTTGATGAGTGCATATACAAATGGTTTAAACAGACAAGTGACAAAAAAATTCCACCAAGGGGTTGTTGATAAGAGCAAAAGCTGAAGAATTTGCATTAAAATTAATATATGTTTAATAAATACATAAGAATTAATATGTTGTATTGTTTTTAAAAAAATACATATTTTGAAATATGATTTTTATAGCTCGAATTCATGGATAACTCAAACATTTTTTCCGGTCCTTTCAACTACAACTTAAACAAGTTCGACTGTATCAAATTCAATTCGCAAAAGGTTTCTTTATTCTGTTATTCTTGCATAATAAATTCGTGTATCGATTACATTTGTTGTTTAAATACAACAGATTGCGGAAATAAATAAATCAAGTTACAAATAAAAATAAAAAAAAAAATTTAATATTCAAAAATTATTCAAATAACAAAAAAAACATAATATCGATACAATTTAATTATGTGTTATTTATAAATTTCTAGTAATGGAAATTATAAACATTTAGCAATCATAAAAAACCATTTGTTATATCATTTTTACGATTAAATTAATAATAAATTATTAATGATATATACAGGTTACTCGTTTGAAAGTGGCATGGTTGCATAAAAAGTGGTTTGTAAATTCATCATTTACGAATATATTTTTTGAAAATTTCTAGATCATATTCGTCCAGTGTAATCCTTATATCTGTTATTTTATTGAATACATTTTGTAAATCATCAGGTAACAACCTAAAGTGAAATGCATAGTGTTAGGTAAATGTCATGTTAATATGAATATACCCACCGTGCAATATTTTGTTGTATTTACTTGTATGGAATGTTTCAAGCAACATTGTAACATTGCCTTTTTTGGTGCAATCATGTTGAAACAACGTTTATGCATACGCTAATGACCAAAATAGATGACCCAGCATTAGAGTAATTTTCAACGCATATGTAACGTATTTTGAAACATTAATGTAACGTCGCAATAACATAGCATTGATATTTTGAAAAACCTCCCAGGAACATTTTAGTGACATAACTATGATGTTGATTAAAATCGAAATAATTATATTATAAAATAAAGCAAAAATTACTGACTTTCTTATCACCTATAGAGAGAATCCTGCTTCATACATAGCCCTACTTATTGAATCTCAATCCTACCGAGTTCGCCTAACCTATCCTATTATTTAAATTGAATTAGAACATCGTATTTAGCCATTATATTTGCCTCAATTAGTCGTACATTTATACGTAAATATTCTAAACTTCTTATTCAGGTCTTATTTTAAAATAACTACTTTGTAAATTATAAACTCCCATTGCTTAGTTAAAATATTCGACGAACAAATTACACAAGGTAGGTATGTAATCTATTTTATAAAGAAAATAGTGATTGAAATCATAAGACTCAATTAAAAGGCAATACATCTTTTCATAAATAACATACACTTTTCAAACTTATACCTACTTATTTAATTTACAACGATAACTAAACAATACCTATAGATAGTAACGTACATAATGTGAATTATATAATAATTACACTGTAGAGTGTAGATAGATTTTTCTTAATAAAAACATATAATATATTTTAGTTTATTTACTCACATAATTTTCAAAAATAAAATTAATTTAAGTAATAATACATTAATATTATAATTGAACGACGAAAGTATAGAAAATTCACCAAGTAAGAATTCAGGCGATTCACGATCACGTAATTACAGGCACACAGAACAATTAATAACAATGTTAAAACTTAAAAGATGTAAATACGTATAACGAATCACTAATCATAATTCATATGAGCTGGTAAGTGATACGTACAGGCTAAATGATGTGCATGTATTTATAAAAAGAATGGCTGGCCGTAAGCGGTGGGACGCGGTTTATTAACAATATGGGTAATCCCGATTCCCGGTTGTTTTCAGATATTATTTTTAGTATATTTTATATTTTACAAAAACAAATAGTTGTAGATTATACAATGTCAACTATTAAATAATAAGAAACATCAAGGTAACGTTACAGAAACTTGTTTCTAGAACGTTGTAAATTGAAGGTACATTTGATGTTGATGGAACAAACCCTAAAATAGTGTTACAATTATACAACCCTGCAATGTTTTTGAAACATTGAGTACAATGTTAGCATTGTAACATAAAGCTTACATCGCAACAATGTTTTGTAACTTTAAATGCACAGTGGATATATATATATAAGTATATAGTTTTAAATATGAATTAACAAAATATCAATTTTATTAAGTACGTAACTTTATATACAACCTGATGATATTATGTATTATCATCAGTGGCGAATTTAAGGAAAAAAGCCTAGGCTACATACGATATAAATGGCCCAAGAATTATGAGTCGTCGTAAATACTAACTCGTGACTTCCCTCTTAAAATACTGTTAAACTAGATAGATATTGATCCAAAAAAAAAAAAATATATATATATATAAAAAAAATATAATAATATAGCACTGGAAAACTGTCTATCAAATGTTTATCAAAGATAATTTTAAGTTATTCAGTGGACTAATGTTAATAAATTCGTTATTTTAAGAAAAATATAAATCAATAAAACTAATTTACTCATATTTCAGACAAGTTGTAAAGAAATCAGCATATTTCTCAATCAAAATACCAACACTGATAACTAAATCATCTTCTATCAGTTTATTTGAATTTTCAGGCATCAAAAATTCAAAAAAATTTGTATTAATGCACATGGTATCAAAAACTTCATAATAACTATGTTTATCATACGTTTCCAAAGAAGAATCAGTAGATTTTCACCAGTCATTTTATTAATTCGCCGATTTCTCACTGTTGGAAAGTCAACATGATCCAAACCCATTTTTCCTAATTTATTTTTGCTTTTGCCATGAAATGATTGTAAGATTTTTAATTTCTTGGATTTTTTTAATTTTGTTAATGCTGTTGAAATACAATTTTGAGCCGTTATTAAATCAATTTCTTATTATTTTTTTTTTTTTGTAGTTATAGTAGCCCAGAATTGATATATCAAAAAAAAATATTAAAATCGTTTAAATTATTAATTGCTTGATATATCAAGCATTGAATGTCATTATAACAAATTAAAAAAAAAAAACCAATTATTTGATGAAAGTAATGTATGAGTAGCCATAATATCATCTCCAGATGCTCCAACTCTTGATATCTCATTTTCTAGACAATCTACTATGCACTCAAAATTATTAATTAAGGCTTTCACAGCTTTTAATCGTGCCACCTAACGAGTTTTACTTAATCTTTTGAACATTTATGATGGGAAATTAATTTATTGATAGTCAAGTAAATTCCAGGATATTCATAATTTTGGAAATTTTCTCGGTGACCACGCCTAAACTGGACAACGTTTCTACAGTATCGAAAAGAAGATTCAAAATCATGGTCCATTTCTGTTCTATTTAAATTTTTTTGTTGAAATGAAAATTAGTGAACTGATGACTGGATCTGGGGAACGAGGGTCTTTACGGGTAGGGGCCCAGGTGGAATATGTCCATAATTGTCCCGTTAAATCCGTCACTGATTATCATAAACTCGCTTTATGTTTACGAGTCGTATAAACTTACCTAACAAACGATACTATCGGCAAAAATAATCCAGGAATCGAAAACACTCGTCGTTCTTCCAGTATTCCTTTCATCATTTCATCGACAGCGATTTCCGTAGGTATTTCCGATAATCTAGACATGTGCGTGCAAAATGTTCAAATGAATTGGCTCGTACGCCATTTTATTTTTCAGTAACTTTATATCTTATAGTATTTAATTATATATAAAAAAAAAAATTATTAATTCTTATTCGGAAATTTATAAGGTTTCTAAAGATTCAAATACCACGAAGAAAATTATATTGAAATATTATACCCAGAAAAATATCAAAAGACAAATTAGTTCCACTTTTTGAAATGACTCGACTTAATAAATACTAGGGATGGACAAAAAACATCGATGTTTTGGGTTGATATAGTAATGTTTCAAAATCGATTATTTGTTTTCTATTAATTGATTAAAAATCGAAGTTTATGTTCGAAAAGTTCGAATTTTTTTTTTTTTTTTTGTTTATATTATTATAATATGCAATATACAAAAAATACGTTATACAGTATACATTTTACAGTTTTAATCAAGACTCGTATGTTCATTTACTATAAATCGCATAAATAAGCATGAAATAATGCACTAACTATTGATCAAATATGCATTAAAAATCCTTAACTATGCACGAAAAAAACATTTAAGGATTTCTTAAAATAATAAGAAATATACATTTATATTTTTAAATGTTATAATTTTTCTATGGATACATTTTAATAAAATTATAATTAATGAATACAAATTACGACGAAAATAGATAGATTGTAATAGACACGTGAATAAGAGGAGAGTAGTAGTAGTGCGCAATAACATAGTTTTCGTGGTACTACTTTTAACTTATAAAATTTAATGTCATTGAAAAATAAAAATATTGATAAAATACTAAGGTTATATAAGCAAGTTTGGAAAAGTAAATATTAATGAATTTAATCATTTATTGATCTAATTTTTTTTTTACTTCCACAAAAATACGATTTCGCTGAATTTAGGTAAAATAAAATGTGCTAATAACTCAAAAACAATATCAACTATATGTCAAATATGCCAATACACACAAAACATGTAAAAGTATGCTCAATCAAACTTTAGAATTGTATTATCACAGTTATGAAACAGATTTTTATCTTAATTAGCGTATTTTCCGATGTAGCAAAGAAAACATGCAAATGCATGAACTTACGAGACCTGTTTATAATTATTTAATATGGTTCTAAAAAATATAAAATAAACAATAGTATTTTAACTCTTAAATGTATTATTTAATCAAGAATGTACACTGCACAGATAATAAGGTGTACAATAGATGACAGCTCTAGAGGGAAACAATTGTTTTCGATGTTTTTAAAATTCGATGGTTTTTCATCGATATATCGAACACGTCGATATTTTAAAAATCGATGTACCTATTGTTCACCAACCCAATAATCTAATATATTATATTCGTACTTGCTGTGTAATCTGGCTGTAATTTTGGGGCTGGTTTTCACGAAGTACGGCAGAATAGTCGTCGTCCTTAAATTGGAGTTCAAATACCTTATCTCGCTTTCCAAGCATTCCATCATACCTACACACAGTCGAATGTTGTATACAAAATACGTACGCAAGTTTTATTGTAATATTATGATACACTACCAGGGACCAGTGGCATATCCAGGGGGTTGTTAGGGGGTTATAACCCTCCCCCCCCCGAAAATGTTTAGTGTACGTATATTGTTTATTGATTATAATAGAAACACACAAAATTTAAAAAAAATTTAATGTTCCATTTTTTTTTATAACCCCCCCGCCCAAATAAAATATCAAATAATCAATTCTATAAGCTCATTAATCATTTATAAAGAAAATAAAATGTATTTAATTTCTCAATAAACGGATCATTTGTTTACCATGAATAAATTTCCAGAATATGCAATTTTCGTAATGTATAATCAATAACACCGAATAATTATTACGTTTATCACTTTTATTCGACAAGTTCGTGTGGTAAATAATTACTTATGTATCCAAATCAAGTTATGACTACAAGTAAATCATATAATTTCTTTTGAATATTATAAATATGTCCACTGTACTGACATTGTTACCTTATTTTTTGATATCTTTTCTAAGTTGGTCTGTGAATGACATTTTTAAAACTCGAGTAAATCTATAAATGATTCAATTACATGCAACGTATAACATTTGTTGTTATTTTAGTAAATTTAAAAATTAGCAGATGGCAAGACAACGCTACAGTTAATGTCACGCAGAATCATGTATATGTTACGGGCAATGTATAGTATACATTGTATACACTGCCCAAAAATTTGGTTCTGCCTGGGCAATTTGAACCTCGAACATAAAGAAAATGTCTGTATATTTTGTAGAATTATATGTAGTTATCAATTACCATTACATTTTACTTTTTATTGTTCTGTGATTCTATCACTGAATGTTAACTATATCCATTCTCAGCACGGTAAGTCGTTTTCAATCGAAAAATGAATTTGAGATATTCTTATCATGGATCGTTGAGTGTCCAGTATATCACAATTTGTGCTTTTTACGATGTTCTACATTATAATAAAAGTATGATAAACATTGACAAATTCGTGATGTTGCCACTATTTCATTACATGCGATATTCCTGCTGAAATTCCGTTGACAAGACGAGCAGGGGGAAGTAAAGATTATAGATTTTGAGAGTCAATACTGAATGACTACGTGTGATAAAGGTCTACATCCTAAATATACCTGAATAAATTTTAGTTTTTAACAAAGGATTTTTTTGTGTTCTATTAATAGGTGTGAACATTTTATGCAAAGAATATTGGATGGTTACTGAGTAAGAGTTGAGCAAAAATGTAGTATTTAACTGGGTACCGGGTATTGACAGGGTAAGAAATACAGTAATACGCCGAGTACCAGGTGAGGGTTGATTCTTAGTTTTCACATCAAGTACTCGGCTATCAATGAATTTCCGGGTATCCGGAACATCTCTGGTAAAGATACTACAAGATGGTGATATTGTTTTTTTCGGTACTAAATGGTTCGTGCTTGCTATCGCTCGTTTACAGTACACCAACGGGTTCTATTTGTTTCGAACTTTATGAGTCTATTAGAAAACAATAATAATTATAAATATTTCCTTAATAATCACGTGCTTAAAGCTATGATGAAAAAAAAAAATCCCGCGTAAAACGAGTTATATTATGTGTGAGTACGATATTGTCTGGAAAAAATTGAAATGAAAACACAGTAAAGACGAATACGTTATCACGATATTTATACGATACGTGTCATTGAATCGATTTACCGTTGATGGCACATTTGGAACTCATGTACGCGGAAGCGCCGGGTATTCCGAACATGGACGACATCGAAGATATTGCCACGATGTGCCCACTGTTTCTCTCCAACATGGACGGCAATATTTCTCTATTCATCTGCGACAATCAATATAATACAACGTTAACATACTATTGTTATACATGTTTATTTGATCGAAAATATATTTACAACCGTGGTTTGTCCGTCCAGGAATAAATATCGCGACGAGCACTCACCCAAAACTGTCCCATGAGGTTCACGTTGATTAGGTTCTCTATGAACTGATCCTCAAAGGGATTGATGTACGAGTAACCCCATGCGATAGCGGCGTTATTAATCAAAATATCTACCGGACCCAAGTCCTGTACCACTTTTTTGTGCACATTTTTCACCTGGTCCTTTTTAGTCACGTCGCATTTATAATCGGCTGCTGTTCCACCGTTTTGTTTAATAATTGTTGCTGTTTCTCGGTTTCCAATTTCGTTGATGTCCAAGCACACAACTTTTGCACCCAATTTGCTGAATCCAAACGCAAGTTCACGACCTATTCCTCGAGCCGCGCCAGTGATCTACATTAACCATATAATATCCAATCATTATTTTTTTTTTTTTTTTTAGGAAATAACTACATTGATATTGTGGAATATTCAAAACTTAAACTTTCGACATATTTAATCTGAGACGACTATAAAGAATTATTGAATTTAATAATTATTTTTTTGGGAGAAGTATCTCATGGAGGAATTAAGTTTAAAAAACCAGGTGCATACCATCATGCAAGGTGGATGACCAAAGGCATCTATTGTCTCAAAATGTATTTATTTCGACAAGAGTTTAATTTAACAAATAATGAGATTAATTCTATTTCTCATTTTAATTTGTTTTTAATTAAGTGCTATGCACGCTTCTGGTATTCTGCGCCAAATGCCATCGAAGCTCCATTAAATGATATCATGTTTTTAAGAGCCTGCTACGAATATCGTACAATTAATGAAATTATTTCAAATTCTGTTATTCAAAAGTTTCTTAGACATTTGTATTATTTAAACGAAGAATGTATCACGTTAGCACTGTTTGATAACAGAATAAATGAAGACACAAATATGAAAATGGCCCAAAAAATGATAGCAATTGACGAAGAAGAGGACTACGAGGAAGAAATAACAGAGAAAAAATTAATTTTGAATAAAGAAGAATTAATTTGTCTTTTAGAAAATGACGATAATAATATTTTATTAAAACTCGTGAACCATAAATCTAAACATTTTTTAGAACGATTTGGTATTTTAACTGCATTTTTAAAATCACATCCAAATATATGGACTAATTTATCCGAATTCATAGAAGGGAAAAAATAGTAAGTGATCTTAAAGTAGTAAATGATCCTGCAGAACGAAGTATAAAATTAATGGAAGAGTTCAATCATAAAATTACAAAAGATGAAGACTAAAAGCAATTTCTATTAAAAGTATATGATAAATATTAACTTTGTGTAGTATAGAATAATATATTTACAAACATTTTTATATTTTCAGACTGTTCAAGATTAACGTAAGAAATATACAAAATCTGCTACTTTGAAAGATCTTAAAAAACCTTTATAAATATGTTGTCTTTTAAATAAGTTAATTTATTGTGTTATAATAATTAAAACATGTAATTGTATAATGTATCGGAAATATAAAATATAAATTTTTTCATTTTTAAAATCAAAGCAATTATAAACCAAAAACCAACATTTTACTCTTTTCTATAAAACTTTGAGCTTAAGTCGCCACCTGTTAATTAAGTTCGATCAAGTAAAATTTTACAGACATTAATTTTAGATATATTGTAATAAAATTCCGGGCCACACTTTAAAAAATTTAGCAAAAAATTTTCTCTTCGTATCAGTAACTGGCACCCTAATATATAAATCATTGCTGATTTTAGTTCTATGTATTATTTACTACCCATAAAGCTTACACATTTTGAGGAATAATAAAATTAATTATTTACACAAATATTACAGTTTCTCTCGCTTAGAAATATTTTTTGAATCTGAAGACTTATGGCAGCTTTAAAATGAAAACAAACAATATGTCTAACACAACAAAGGATTAATACTCCAGCCTGTAACACTTAACAATAGTATCTTAGTAACATTTCAAATCTTTAAATTCGCATTTAATGTGAACTCATATTTTAGGGTTAGAACTAATTCCTTTCTGTTCAATACTAAATCACAAAAGATTAAACTTTTTAAATCAACATTTATGGTCCGTTTTAGGGATGAATTTATTTATGAATAGATTGATCTAGAGTGATCATAATGATCTTGATTTTTAAACGCATGTTAAATGAAAAACATTTAATTCTGTCTCTCAACTGGTATCTAGTTTTTTTTATGTATATTTTTTTTTGAAAGACATTTTATACTAACTATTGTAATGGATAAATTTAGAGAGATTGTTTATTGAAAAACCGAATAGATGATTTGGATACGAACTAATAAATGAGAAACTATGTTACTAAATGAATCGCAAATTCCAAGTTTTCGGAAAAGTATACTGTACATAATTGTTTTTTTATTCTAAAATATTAAGACATTGTTTAACATAAACCGTGTGAATAATAAGAACAAAAAAACTTGATTTTGATATAGTATCGTTTTAATAAAGCGGAATATTATAAAATCGCACTCATTAAAAACGTCATAGAGCATCTTCTATCCACGTGACTGGAGAATTGTATGAATTTAAGTATTCTGTAATAACGATTATAAACGTTAAATTTAAAGTCGTTAATCTATTACCAATTAAATTTTAATCGAAACGTTTTCGAATAGCAGGCATCATCGGATTCGACAAAGTTAACCAAACCATGTAAGGATACATGGATTAAAAAAATTTACTAACAGTTTAGACAAAACATATATAAAAATGATACAACATTTTCACCTAGAATTGGGACAAATTACGAAGTAATATTAGAGTGGACAACTAACAATTGTGTGTCTTTTAATACCATATTTAGCGATTTATTTTTTTTCAAAACATCCAAATATTGCTATGTTTATTTAACATTTACTAATTATCCAGACGAATTCGTAAATACAAATAAATTCCGCCAATAATTATGTATGTAAAACAATTAGCACAGAATAAAAAAGTTATTTATAATTTATCATTAAAATATTACAATGACCAATGATATTACAATGACATTATAAAATATTACATATTACATATTACAAAATTATTACAATGATAGATATAATTTTAAAATATTTATCTTCATTCATTACATTATATAGCAGAGGTGGCCAAACTTTTTTCGGCCATGATCTACTAAAAATGTACCTCACCTTTGTAGATCGAATTTTTGGGAAAAATGTTTTTAATGTTAAATAATTATAATTATTAAGAAACATACTTGCTTAAAGTGTATATAAACATACATAAAATATTATAAACTAATTACTAATTACTAGAAATAATATTTTAATTTCTAAAATCTATATACTTAAGTCTAATTAACATATTATATTTATTTTGTTGATCTGGGCATTGTTAAAGTCAGGGCTTTGCTCCCGAAATAATTCGAACCCGTAACACTCCTTAAAATTCTTAAAAAAATCAAACACCCAAAACCCATATAACCTGAATGATTTTTTTTAAACACCCGAATTAACCAAAACCCAAATAAAATATTGGTTTTAACCCGAAACTCGAATAATTTTTTATTTTACAATCTTTATGTAACATATAATTTTGTATGTATTTTTTGTGGTTATTTCAATTTTGTCATTAGTTGTTTAATATTAAAATTATTATTCATAGGAATAATTTCACAAATAATATACAAAATTCTTAATTAATCTAAATTTATTTAAATAAAGACAATAGAAATATATCATATTGACAGGTATGCATGAATGGTATGGTATGTTGAATGTTCAAGTGTAAACAACTGAGATACTATTTTTAAAATTATTCCAAGCGGATACGTCGTATTATTATAATTTTTATAGGTAATAGGTCTTCTATGAATCACCGAGTCGTTATTTATTGCAATACTGTAAGTCTGAAATAGAATTGATGTCTTGCATATGATTACCTATATTGTTGTTCGTGTTATTCGTATTTGTTCAGTGTATGATGTGTAGTACACATGTCTATGGCGTGAATTGTCAATTTTTGTTGGTGTAATAATTTAATCGTAACATTCATAAGTCCAAATTGTTATTATTCTTGTATCACGCTATGTCCTAGCCAGTGCGATTTTAGTGTGTGCACGCACAAAACCATAAACGGAAATTTGATGATATTTGTGGGGGGCTGAGCATTATTAACTTATTACACCTATAGATACTACTGTGCGCAATTATTTATTTCAACAAGGCAATTTAGGAAGTTTGACAATTAGGTTGCAACGTCTCAGTACAGAAAGTTCTGTCGAGCGCTCGTTGACGATCACCTTAAAAGGTACATATGTCGCCAACCAAAAACCGAGACACTTTTTGGGGCCGGAGTATTTGCATTTTACTATAGTGGTCATTTATATTATACTCATAAATAAAGGAAAAAGATTAATAAAGAAAATTATATTATAGATAAATATAAATATATTATAATAAAGCTTGTACATGGTGGAGGAAAGCTCGTACGGGCGTAAAATCTCTACCTTTTCATAGTTTTGACTCCAAGACATGGCGAATTTTTCACACGCGGATTTATAAAAATTAGAAATAGTAGGGAAATTTCCACTGATGAATACCAGCTAAGGTATAATAATAATAATAAGAATATAGTTTTTATTTTTTGTATAATACATTACCGACCAGTTTCACCCAAACATTTGTTTAAATGTTGTATTGCGGTGTTTGAACCGGTGGTACTGGTTTGCGCATAGATACCAAAAAGACAAATTGTTTGGGCAAAAAACTACCACTCGTTTGGGAACAGTCGAGTCGTAATCATACTTATGGTTTGCGCACAGTTACCTTTTAAACTTTAATAGTTTAATACCATGCATATTAATATTTCTTTATTATTAAAGTACTTACATACGTTTTTCTTCCGCCTTAATAGACTTAGGACTGTCTATGAATGTATTCATAGGTGTAGTTAAAAATGTATGTTAATTGCTTATTAATAATTGTAATAAATAAAATGTAATACTTGTTCAAGTTAAAAATGCATGTTAATTTTAATATAATATGATTGGTATATACACGTATAGGATAATATATACGTGTCTATTATTTTTTGCAATAAAAGTTTCCCATTATTTGAATGTATTTAATTTGGTCTATTTCCCCAGATGTATATTTTGTCCATAAGTTTATGCGATGTTTAACTGATTCTATTGACTCCTTACAGCGATAATTATTTATATTTTTGTTGATTGATGTTATTTTTAATTCTGTTTAGCTTTGTATTTTAAGAATTACGCTTATTACCTGGTGTATGTGGGGATGTGGAGTATAAAATTGTTGGTTAAAATGTCTATGAAATGTTTTCTACACCATTCGTAATTCGAGGTTCGTCTTTTGGATATCCTACCCATAACATAGGATTAAATTTTGAATCGTTTGTATTACACTATGATAGTCGTAAATCACGATAAGGCCGATAACATACACCGGGTTTTATACCGCGCGACTAGCCAATACAGGCGTGACAAAAATATAATTATTTTCGTGTGCGCAAACCAGTTGTACATTTAATATAATCTTGTGCGCAAACGAGTTCTGATTTTTCAGGTAAAAATTATGAATTGTGGTAAATTTACGAAATTTGGCTTCTTATTAAATGATAATTTTGGCTTCTTTTATTTAGTTTTAGTTACGTGCCACCTGCTCGATTTCAAGTAGTGCAGTTGACAATGAATTTAAATTTAATTAATCAAACATAAGACTTTAACTTAAACATTTATTTTAACTTTCAAAGTGTTTTAACGTAATCTAACATAGAGTGACGTGAAGTAGCTTGTAGTTCCGTGACTAGAACTCATATGCCTTGTGGTCATTTCGGTTCCTCTTTTATACTGCTCGATTGACCTCATAGGACTTGTTGTCTTGGCCATTTCCAGTGTTAAGCCTTGTTCCATTGACCTAATTTATTATTCCGTGAAAATTGATTAACAGTTTATTACATATTTAATATTATTCGGTTTATAATATAACGAAGGCTTATTTTGCGCAATAGATACAATATTTGACCTGATTCCTTATTCTAAGAATTTCAGTTTATTACAATTTTAATATTAATGGTTTATTAGTTAAATATACGAAAGGCCGTCTAACGCAATAGGTATAATATTGTGTTACACAGATTTTAATTTTATCAAGGTTAAATCATACATAGTAGCACATAACAAAGAAGTAAAAAAGAATAGTGATACATATGAAAGAAATCGTACTTTGTGCACAAACAAGTTGCAGCCGTTTGAACACCCGAATATATTCAACACCCGAAACCCGAAATAATTATTCGGGTGCAAAGCCTTGGTTGAAGTGCACGTGGCCTAAAAATAAATTCTAATACGATCGACTCTGAAATCGTACTCCTTCGACCGTTTAGTTACCCCTGCATTATAGAATAATAATAATATTTTATTACTTAATATTATTAAAAAAAAATGATTGTATTAAGTATTATTATATTTTCTCCAAAATTATAATTTAAAATAAATTATATTATATATCTACTTCTACTTCACATTATAGCAATGAAAAGTGTTGAAGATCCTTTTGTTTTGCAAACGAGTATATGTTACTACCTATTGAAAATGATTCTACTATTTATGTGTTTTACTATTTGGGAATATGTAATAAATTTACTTCAGATACAATTCAATCTTGTCTTGTTTATGCTAATACTAAAATTCAAGTTGTCTTTGTTCTTATTTATT